GTCCCACCCAGCTCTTAGCTCTCTCAGTTTGGTTTTAGTATAGCACTTGATAATGTTTGAACTCTGTGTTGTTCAAATATTTTACCTATATAAAACAGCCCATATTCCTAACTATAGTTGCCATAGTTATAGAACTGATTATGATATATTTTACAAAGACATTTGGTAGCTTTTAAGAACATCTTTCTATTGTAGTTATTTGTTAATTTATTAAAAAATATGCACGCATTTGATTTGATTTCTCGTGTTTTTCACTGATTTCTTAAACAAACACTCAAAACTATAGTTACATTTTAAAAAAATAAATAAGATAAATTGATTGTTCCTCAGAACGAACCCATGTCTCATAGATTATTGGCTACCTGTAATAACAATGCATTATTTCCTCGGGCATTACATATATCCCCCAAAAGAATATGGTGAATTTGTTTCCATTAGCCACTCAGAAAGCAAACTGCCAAGAAAAACAGAGATTTTGGGAATAACCTTGGAGTTCTTATTCTTGAAAGTGATGGAAACCAGAAATTTTTAGGAGACCAATTCTCTCTCTAAAAACATAAAGGCTGTTAATATTTACACAGCATATGAACACCACCAACCAGCAGTCAGCATATGTAAGAACATTTGTTGTAAACAATTCGGTATCCAAAAACTAACACGTAGCCAAAAAGAAAATGGATGCTGTGAAAAATAACCATGAAACATTGAAGCAACTAATGGAAACATATAAATCAAGCATTCAATTTTGTATATTTATGTTTTTAGTTAAAAGGAAACAGAAAAGGTCTTATCACCATCACTAGGAGGATACAGAAATACAAATCTTTAGTTCTGTGAAGATAAATTCCAGTGACTGCCAACAGTTGAAGAAATGAGATGAATACAGATATTGCAAGCCCATTTCATGACTACTGTAAGTTCTACATACAATGCTGCATAAACTGTGATCAATGCCATTCACTATCAGGATGCTATGAATGTATAATTGCATTTATTCATAACTAAGACATAAAATTGTTAAGTAAACATTCATCTCATGTAATGCTGAAATATCACAACCAAATATATGATTTTCTAGAAAAGCTTGAGAGGTTGCTTAATTTTCTGAAAGGAAGGTGGCACACAGAGAAGTTTCCCTCCCCAATTTCAAAATGCCAGATTGATTTGAAATGAGGTTTAGGATAATTAGAACATCACAGAACTGAGAAATTCCCTTCTGCAAGATATAATGAGGGCCACCTAACTTTTTTTCTTGTGAATTTGAAGAAAGTTTACAAATCTCAAATAAATCACATTTAAGTCAAACACTGCCCTGGATTCCGTTTAAGAGCTCCTTAATTATCATATGTCTAAGAGAAATCGTTCATATTTTTATAGAAGGAATTAAAATATTTTATGAAATTATACCTTTAGCTTTACTTGTTAAAAAAGCTGCTAAGAAATTAATTTTTCCCTCTAACCAATGTAAGGTATTTTGTTATGAAATATTAAAATATTGACTGAAAGTCTATGAACTCTTTTTGATTTTCCATAACCCAGCAGTACTATATTCAATAGAGTCGTCTACATAGTTCAAGAGATTCAGATTAAGAAAATCAATTTTAAAAACTGTGCAATGTCTTTATTGAATGCCAACATTCACTGGGTTTTTTTTTTAAAAAAGTGTTATGAAGCCCTAGGATAATCACTGTACTGAATATATAGGTACTACTTTAGCCACACTGTGCAGGGGGCCCAAAAAGGCAGAGATGAGGCGGGGAGATAATCTGGGGGGAGTTGCAGTGCCCCAACTTGCACACGGCCTGTACCGGACCTCCAACCCCACCCTCCCATGCAGAATCCCAGCACTCTTTACCTAGGATCCCTTCTATTTAACAATCCATACTTTTCAGTTAATGATGGCAACTGATTGTTCTAGGATTGTGGTTGTTAAACAATGCAGTAACATTTTTTATTTATTTATTTATAAAAAAACCTAAAACATACTTTAGTTGGGCAATGTGCTTGAACAAAAATCAATATGCCACAGTGTATATATAGCATTGGGGGGGGGGGGATTCTCAGGTTTCCATGTAGCTTAAAATTAAATGTAGTATGGAATATGAAATTGTACCCTATGCCATCTTTTGCAGCAGGCAGATTCTGTGTGGCTGGCTTGGTTGGCAGATTGATTGGTTATGTGCCTTCAAGTTGGTTAGTGATTATATAGTGATTACATAGACAGATTTTCTCCAAGAAAATCTCTCCCCATATCTATATCCAATCCGTGGCAGGATTACATAGCCTTCTATTTATTTGGCCAAACAACCAAATACTTGCAACTTGGAAAACAACAAAAACATCTACCTTTCAAGAACTTCACACGCAGTGAAAGAGTGCTTGGAAAACCCATTGTTAAAGTACAATTAATGTCTGAGTAAGTTTTCACTTCAATTAGCATGAAAAGTAATTCTGTCATTCTGACAAATTACTCCTGTTAATCTATAAAATGTCTGGTAATGCACCGCTGCACCTAAAGTCCTAACTTTTGGCATGTGAACATACAAATCTTACTGCTAGCAGTGACTTGCTTCAAATGTTTTTTTTTTATTGCGTAAAGCAGCTTGGAGTTTGGGGAAATAAAACTATATATCCATTCGTGTTTACATGAGTTTTACACAATTAAGCAGGCTAAAAGATGCAGCATGAAATGAACCCATATTTGGTATAACTACCAAACATATAGGGGGAAAAAACAGGAAAGGTTAGACATTTATATATATTTTTTCCAATGTCAAAAGCCATCTTCCAAGAAAAGAAACTCTAAGTTTTAAATTGATGCAATGATAACATTCTTAATGCTTGTAACCCTAAGTGACCAAAATGATTAGTTCGAAACTTAATGGGTTTTGAAACGTTAAGAATTTTCTTGTCTTTTTCTGCTGAGAACAGAACGTTCATAATATCTTATTGGGCTTAGAAACAATAACAAATCCTCCAGACACATTTGATTCTGTTATTGCTTTAATTGTCTAAACATCAATCTCTTTAAGTTCCTATCATGGGAGTTTTAAATAATTGGGTCATAAAGACCTAAGAATAAGTACTCAGTGATGGAAAACTCCTGTCTGAAGGATTTCCTCTTGCATTTCAAGCAACTTCATAGTTTTCTTTTGTGCCCTTGTGTATTTCAAAAGGTCCTTCAGAATTAAAAAGGACTACAGACAGTCTTTGACACAATTAAGCTCAACATTTATGTTGCTAAGTGGGCTAAGTTGTTACGTGAAATTTGCCCCATTTTATAATCTTTCTTGCCACAGTTGTTAAGTGAATCTGGCTTCCCATTGACTTTGACTCTGAGAAGGTTGCAAAAGGTGACTGCATGACCCCAGGATGCTGCAACTATCATAAATATGAGTCAGTTGCCAAGTGTCTGAATTATGATCATGCAACCATAGGGATGCTGCAATGGCCAAAAGTCACTTTTTCAGTGTCATTGTTAACTTTGAACAGTCACTAAATGAACTATTGTATGTCGAGAACTAAATGCAAGAGCCATTTGTAATAGTATGGTGAATCATAATTTTAAAGCATATTTTGGCATAATACCTAATTTTCAAATCTACAATCTAAAACAGGAGCAGAAATCACCGACAGAGTAAGGGTATATTATATGAAATCTGAGGACTACAATGACCTTTCCCTTGAAGCCTTGGCTCTGGCTTCCACCTGCTCTCCAAAACTTTCCACCAAGTAGATCAAGGGTGTCCAATCTTGCTGGCTGGGGAATTCTGAGACGTCCAGAAGTCTTAAAGTCGCAGTTGGACATTGCTGAAGTAGAAGTTGTGAATACCCACAGCAGGGAGAAGTACCAGGCTGACATGCTTAATCTCAAGAAGATTCAGATCTGGTTAGAATCTAACTAGAAGTCCTAGGGTTGCAGATTAGATTAGAAAATTGCAACAATATTCTGAGGGAAGGCAATGGCAAACCACATTCATTCAAATTTCTAGATTCTAAAAATATTTCTATATTTTTGCCTAGAAAACTAGATGGATATGGCTAAGATGTCATTAAAATCAACTCAAAGAAGGCTTTACTTTAAGGCACTATTAATGTGACAGAGGGGGAAAATATTGAATTATTAAATTCAAGGAGGATAATAATATGTATTATTTTTTGCTTTAATTTTTATTAAATGAAAATGAAATTATTATTATTGTTGTTGTTATTGTTATTATTATTGTTGTTGTTATTAGTATTATTATTTATTCCTTAAGAATGCAAGAGGCATGGTGGCTCACTGGCTTAAAAGCCACTGGAGAAGGTCTAAACTCTGGCAGTTTGAGTCCTACCATTCTGAGACAGAGTGAGCTCCTGTCACTTGCCTCAGTTCTTGCCAACCTAGCAGTTTGAAAGCATGTAACTGCAAGTAGATAAACAGGTACCCCTTTGGTAGGAAGGTTAATAGCATTCCGTGTCTTGCCATATGCTTTGCGCTGTGGAGTTATGTCATATTTTCATATGCCACGGAAACATCTTTGGACAAAACTGGCTCAATAGCTTAAAGAAGCAGAGATGTCTACCACCCCCTAAAGTTGGTTACAACTAGCAGAATAACACCCACATGGACTCCTTTAAGAATGCAGCTTGAAATATTATTTGAAAGCCAAGATATTTAATCCTAAAAAGGTTACATATCTTATTTTAGAGCAATAATTTCTATTGATAATAATTACTGAATAATTCTAAGAACTACATCAAGGAAAAAGAAGCTAAGCAAAAGATAAACAAAATAGGTAGCAGTTCTTCTTAACTATGCCTAGCCTTTATATTTCTGTTAAATATGAATTGAGCTTCCAAAATTAAGAGATATAACATATGAATCTTTCATAAACTAGCTTTAGAGCTAATTAGTATCCTTTACCCAGTTGGTAAACATCTTAAATTCTGCAAAGTAAACAAATGGCAGGAATTCAAAATAGAAAGTTTACTTTTTGAATACTTGAAAAATTACTTACCCATCATTGGAACATGTTAAAAACTCTTCTTTTAATTTTGGATGCCAACAGCCTGAATTAAGCATTGCTGTGTGTCCCTAGAATGAGGAACAGGAGATGTAAATATAATACATAATAAGCTGTTTAACCAAACAATTTATTTGTTCTCTTCTTTTCCAAATACTGCAACAAGCAAACATAATTATTATCCAATATTTTGTAGGAGCACAGTGGCATGCATGGTTAGGATGCTAGTTTAACCAGCAGCAAGCTCTTGTTCGAGACCCAAGTGCTGTCATGGGGTGGGGTGAGCTCCTGTCCTTTGCTCCTGCTGGGGACATGAAAGGAACCCTCAACTAGTCATCCCCCTGGCAACAGTGATGTCACCTGCTAATCCTTTCAATCTGGAAGCACCTTAGTGCCTCCAACCCAAATGAAAAATCCAATACCCTTACAAACGTTATTGAAAACTAGAATAAGGAGGATAATCTTGCAACTGTTCATGTACTCAAGCATTGATATCTTTCCATAGTTACTTCTTACTTTTTAAAATTCCACTCAGAATCTATATAAATCATTTATACTATCAGCAACAAAAAGTTCTAGTGAAAAGGCAATGTAAAAACACAACTATTTTAACTACCTTCATAAAAGTATCTAATAAGGAAACCTGAAATGAAAACTTGCTCTATCTTCCTCTCAGTTATACTTTCAAAATATATCTACAGGTAATCCTTGATTTACAATCATTCATCTCCCAACTATTCAAAGTTAGAACAGCACTAAAAACAGTGGCTTATGACCAGTCTTCACACATATGACTGTCGCAGTATCCCCATGGATCACATCATCAAAATCTTGTCAACCCGCATGTATATACGATGGTTGCAGCATCCCTGAGATTATGTGATCACCATTTGCAATCTTTCCAGCCGGCTTCCAACAAACTATATCAATAGCAAAAGCTGGATGGGATGCTACCAGTTCTGCCCGGCTCTATAGAACCGATAGCTCTGAAGAGCAGCAGATACTGAACCGGTTCTGTGTTTGCTGCTGTTTGGCCCACCCGCTTGCCCAGGCTCTTACCTGTCCTTTATTTCCTGCTTTTCCAACCTCAGCTGCTTTACGCAGCACAGCTGAGGTTGAAAAAGCAGGGAAAAAGTGGCTTTTCAAATGCTGTGCACCCGCGCACAGCACTTTTCAGCTGTCTGGGCGGCAGCTTAAGGTTTTTTACACACGCGTGCAGCATGTAAAACGTAGTCAGTGAACTCATAGTAACACCGGTTGAATCCCACCCCTGTCCATGATTCATTTAAAACTGCACTGATTAGCTTAACTACCATCGTGAAAAGGTCATGAAACTGAGCGTGACTTATTTAACAACCACTTTGCTTAGCAACAGAAATTCCAGTCTCACTTGCAGTTGTACGTCAAGGTCTACCTGTATAGAATTAAGAGATAAAACTCCTTATTCAACCCTAACTTTCCCTTCAATGCTGCTCTTTACTATTCTTTCCATGCCAGACCCATTAGCCAGTGATCCAATGGCCTTACAAGTTTGTCAGCCCAGCGTCCTAACCTCATGAGTCAACACACTCCCTGTTGTTTTCTTTCTTTTTTGAATATCTTTTATCTTTGTATATATATTTTTTGCCAAAGTGTGTGTTCCTTTTTGTTTTCCACATTCCGGCAAGAATTGCGTGTTCTGAAAAAGTCCTTTAGGCTTTATTAGTATTTGATTTTGCTCATTTGTTATTATTTCAATTTCAATTATTTCAATATGTTGTACATTGACAATAAATGTTTGATTTGAGAATGGTGTCCTTCTGAACCTCTTGGAACATTTCTGATCTGAGGGATACTTTGGAGCTGCTCTTTTAGTTCTGTAATTCTGAACTATCTCCAAACATTGTTAAGATGATGGATCGTTTTAATTTTTCCTTTCAAGTTTACTTCCAACAATCCTTTAATTTTTTTGCAGATCTGCTCTTCTACAGTCAAATGTGTGTGAGAGATAGGCTTTATTGGCAAGCACCATTTACATCCATATTTATGTTTATAGCATTATCAACACTTCTCCCAATTAGTTTATCTAGGTCTTGGACAAGACTATAATTAATACTGAAAATTAAGGCCAATGTTAACAGTGATGTTGGCTTCCAGACTGACTGTTTCAAGGCTTAATCATTTAGAGCAGGGGTCCCCAACCACCAGTCCGCGGACCGGTACCGGTC